GAAGAAAAGGGGCCTCTAGGCTAACCCATGATTCTAAAAATGGCTATAGTTTTGAAAGTCTACAGAAAATAAAAGCACAAGTTCTTCTGCATGTGTTTCTGCTGGGAGAGGTCCATGCACCCCTTCAGGGACAGCGGCTGGCCAGAACAAGGGCGAGGAGCCCTGACTCATGGTGACTTGTGATAGCTGGAGGGCCTGAAAATAGACAGGAGGGAAACTTTCGGTCAGGTGACTTCTCTTTAACTGTAGCAGGTTCTCAGATCCCTAAGCTGGCCCAAGATGAGAGAATGGTCAGTAAAGAGAGTCTGGCAGAGTGTGCCCACTCAGTGCCATCCGATTGTGAAATCTGCTTGTTTGCATACTTTTACAGTACCGGAGCTTAAGTCCAGGCCACTGTACCAAGGACTGTACGAGAGCTGGACCTGCGGCTGCGGGGACTGTTTCCGACCAGAAGCAGTAGGATTTATTAGAGTCACTTCTAGGAAGTCTGTTAAGTAGTGTCTACAAACATACTAATAGCATCGATGAATGTGATGGGATATACTTAATGCATGTTTCTACAGTAACTCCACTATATATTGAAGAATTTGTGAAAGTTCCCCATTTGATTCAGTATTAATCATGATAGAAGCAATCAAAACTGGTCTGATAAAGAAAGTAGATCTTTCAAACTTGACTAATTCCCACGGCAGTTACTTGAGAAAGACCGAAATGAAAGAAACCAAAAAGTAATTTATGAATTTTTTTAAAGTTTAAAAATCCCACATATGAATCATTGAATTGTTTGCTTGTGTTTGGAGCAGGAAGAGTCCCTCATTTCTACTCAACTGTACTTACATTTTAAATTGTTGTTTCCTTTTCTCTTACATTACTACAAGAGAAAGGAAATGCCTAGGCAAATAAACTCTGTTAAAATAACTTTGCAGTTGTGACACAATTTGACAAAAGCAAAGGAAATTCAGAGTCATTGCTCACACCGTATCCTCAGCTGATTCCAACTGTGGAAAATAAGATGCTTAAAAAAAAAAAAAACAATAGAACAAACTTGGGATAGACTCAGTCTTAAAAGCATGCTTCTTAAATGCCCACTTTGACTTCACTGTCTTTAAATCATATGAAAGAATTGTGAAACACTTGTTCATCATAAACCTTATCAGAATTTAAAAAAGTATTTGCTTTGTTTGTTTGTTTTCTTATTTTTTTTTAAGATCCTCTGATTCTAATGTAAAGAAATAACTCCTTAGGCATGAGTAAGCTGCTTGAATTACATGTAAGCAATAAGAATAGCTTCCTAGTATTTGATAAGATATTAAACTTAGCTGTTTCCAACAATGCTGTAAGCACTATTTCAAGAAGGATATACAAAAAAAAAAAAAAAAAAAAAACAGCAAAGCAGTTTAACCAAAATCTCATATTCACTACCTCTATGCAAATTATAAATCTAACAGAGAGGCGATGTATCATTTTTATTAAACATATAATATGCTGCACAAATAGTGTTTACATAAACCAGTATAAAGTTAATTCTCTCCTGGGAAGCATTTCTAAAAAATATAAATTGGGTTTTGAGAGTTAATCAATTTGCTTTTTCTCTTTTGGCATTTTAATTGAAACCTCCAAACTGTGTGCTTCCTCAGAGTATCAGAAAGCAAGTATCAGTCGTGCAGTTATAAAATCAACTCTTAATTTTCTTTCAATGAAGTAGCAGATAGTCAGCCTGTAAATTTTACCTATATTACTATGGAGCTGCAGTGCTATAAATTCAAAACAGTGTGCAGGTTGGTGGAAATTGAGGTCCAGGCAGCAAGGCATGTCCATAAACTTTTCTCAGGTTATTGGAACAGAACGAATCAAAAGCGGTTCCTGGTTGTATGATATTCTCTTTTGATAGAGCAGGCTGCTTGTTGTTAGCAATCCAAGTGCAGAGGTTAGTCAGAGCAGAATGTAATTTCTAGCAATCTGACAGACCTGCGGATTGAAGCGGCAGGTTTTCCCTTCCGATTTCAGGGAATTGCTTCTTACTGTGACAAATGATTAGCTGTTATCTCTGACTGAATTTGATTTCTACAAGCAGCTGAGTCAGGTAACTTTGCAGCGTTTGAGGGGGTTTTTTACAGGAAATGAAATCGGCTCCCTAGTCATATGTGAACCAAATGAAATCTTCCCTGTCAGGGCAAAATTGTGCTTTTGGTTAATTGGAGGCAGATTTAGCATAGATGATGTGTGCCTGTGTGTGTGTATGGTGTAGACAAGCACACCCATGTGTGTACATTTACATAAGTGAGGGACCATTTTATAATTTCTCTCTAAACTTTGATAGTCTTGCATTCAAACAAAAATCCTACATTATGAACAAGGTTGAAACTGTTAGTATAAACTACAAGTGAGAAAGATGGTCATGTAGGTATCAGAATGATGTGGCTGCATATAAGGACATCCTGCTTTCAAGAGTTTGGACTGCAGTATTAATCAGAATACCATAGATGCTCACTGAGCATGGTTTTAGCAAGAATACGCATCAAAGGACAGCTGCCTTCAAGGCAAGAAGTCTAAGTAAAATAAGTTCATCCTTGATCTCATCCAAATTTGCGTGTATATTTGAACAGTAAGGGATTCTAATGATGGCAGATGTCT